ATATTAATGTTATGAATACAAAAAAAAAAAAAAAAAAAAAAAGCCTAACATAATAGAATACTTTGGTTGTTGTTTAATATTTGATTGTCACAAAATTATATTTTTATTCGTATTTATGAATACGAATCAACATTCATAATAAAACAGTATGATCCCACCGTTTGGCCATATGTAATGTCCATTTAATTTTGTTTTAAAGGGACTTTATCTTGTAATCTTGTAAAAAAAAAAAAAAAATTAATTTAAAAAATTGGTTACTTTAGATATAATATGTTGAATATATTAATGAATATATATTAAAATAGTTTTAAATTAATATATTTTTTTTTAAGATGATTGCATCATCTGCGACATATTTAGTCATGGTATTACAATTTGGTAAACTACAAAACTCTTTTAATTTAAACGAAGCAACTTCAGAAATTGGAAACTCCACTACAACAGCAGCACCATTTTTTCTTACCACCATGTGATGATAACTTAAATGAGATTAAATACAATTGTATATATTCTATAGTAGTTTATTTCAAATGTGAGCCATAATTGTTAACTTAGAATAAAACTTAATTAACAGGTGCGAAAACAAAAATTAATTATACAATAAAAACAATGGACTGAATAATATTAAACAAAACAAAACCTGGACTAAGTATTTATTTATTTTTTCATAACAACAAATAATAAAAATAAAAATGAAACTAAGGTGTGTGCTACCACGCGATAGACGTGAAAACGGCAACAAGGTGAGATTAATAATATTAAATATAAATTTTAAATAATATAGAAAGTATATAATAATGTGAACTATCTGTAATCTGCGCGGTCCTAATCGAAATAAATTTTAATAATAATCGAAATAAGAAACGAATGTGCCACGTTAAACATTCCACACGTTGCCAGGTTCACATTAATTACTTCAAAACTAAAAATATTGCTGTAGAATATTAATTTAATTTAAATCACATGTTTCCAAGGAAATTAAATGAAATTTTCTCAATAAATGTAATCTTATAAATTTTGTTTTAAGTTTGAGAAAAAAATATTTAAAAATCAACCGAATCAAGCCAATTCCATTGTTTAAAATAAAATTTCATTGTACTTCTTTGAAAGAAATAATGAAATAATAAAAATGTTTCATGGATTTGTTTATAACCTTAAATATATTTACTGTAGTTTAATTACTCTAGATATGATGTAATATTTTAATAATAGTGGGTAAATGGTTGACTGTCGTGAATAATGAAGAGAAGAATAGTTGGGGTGATCAGTCAAATAAGAAGGCAAAAATAAATGATAATATTTATTTTGACATTTGCCGACGTTTCGACCTGAAGTTCAGGCCTTCATCAGGGCTGTCTCCAAAAAGTGTTAACAGAGAAGAACAGAATTTGGAGACAGCCCTGATGAAGGCCTGAACTTCAGGTCGAAACTTCGGCAAATGTCAAAATAAATATTATCATTTATTTTTGCTTTCTTATTTGACTGATCACCCCAACTATTCTTCTCTTCATTATTTAAATAATAGGGTATCTATTCACCGTTTATGTATATGAGCCTTTTGTAATTAATTGGAAGTTAAGAGCGTTTATCTAGTGTGTTGTAGTAAGCGGAAACGTCGGGCAGTTGGCTGAGTCCTAGGTATCGGATTCGTTCAACAGGAATAAGTGGGGTGTTATTAAAGGAAACTGTAGGAAAGGAAGTCATGGAGTTACAACAAAACTAATATCTAAACATATACATACATTTTTTATAGTATTATATTGTTCTTCTAACAATAATTATATTAATTATCACTCATAATTTTAATACATAACACTAGCCGATCCAGAATTTAATTTTGGGGGAGGCTTCAGTCCGAAATATTTTTTTTTCATATACATATAACGATAATTAAATTTTTTAAAAAATAAAGAAATTAACTACCTATATGAGATGGTGTTTAAGTGGTTCTTGGAGCCCTATTAAATGTAATTAAACCAACAAGAATACTTTAAGAGACAGTTTAACATTTTTTTTTCTCTAAAACATGATTATACTTTTTCTTTTTTGGAAGGGGGGCTTCAGCCCGAAAGCCCTACCCTCCCCCTCCCGTAGATCCGCCTGTAATCTATAATATAAACTCCAGAGAAACTACATTTTGCTATCCGAGTCTAAAAGTCCGAGATAAAGATAGACCCCATTTTATGAAATTTTTTAACATCCGCCTAAAACTTCGTTGATAACTTCATCTCATCTTAACCTACAACTTATTCATTAACAAAAATTCAAGCAAATAGTTATTTATTAGTTGTTAGTATTCAATTAATCAATTTAATGAGAAAACGCTTCTGATAATGAGGAAGTCAATTTCGTGAAAACTCTGTGTTTCCCACCGCTCTCTCTCAGTCGACCTAGTAACTAATTCTGTACTTTCATTGTATGATAAGTTTTGATATTACAATAATATATTGAAATCAATAGAACTGCCATTACGCCTTGATTGTATGAGTTGAGCTCAGGACTACCGATAATAGAATTCGAATAGGAAATGATTATGTAAACATTCTTATCATTTTGCCGTTCTCTTGGAAGATATGAAAATAACCGAATAGCTAAATTGTCGACCTCGAATCAACTTATTCCAAGCAATCAAATAAATTGCTATACTGTAACCAAGCAACCGCTCAACAACAAATTCTTATTATTAAGTAAGGTACTGATGACAGCCTACTTCGCCAAATCCAGGTTTAAAAGGAACAAAGCTGCTAGTATATAGAGATTATTAATGGTAAAAACAGTTAATGATTATTCTATTTAAAAACCATATATATATATATATATATATATATACATATATATATAGCATAATTATATTATTTTAAACACAAAACCATGAATCTCTAAAATGTTTTTTTTTTATATATGCTGTAAGAACATTACTTTATTGAGTAATATTACATTCTGTAACAACTAAAGACATTTGTAATAGTGTTACAGACGTCCATTTATAATTTTTATAAATAACTTTTTAAAAAAATAAAGAGCACAACAGCAAAATAATAATACTACAAATAAATAAATATATGTAAATTTTATTTATTTATTTATTTATTGTTACATTCCGCATCTACCCGATTGGGTCATTAGCGAATATATGTAAATGAAAAGAAATTTAAATTATTCAAAATAAAAATTAAAATACAGGCATTCTTTTATACAACATTTACAAACATTCATTCAGTAGAACTCCGAATTAATATTTTACCCCACACAGAACTCTGGGTGTCTTAGCGCCACCATCTGAAAAAAATGTATGCAAATTTCTTTCAGAGGACTTACTAGTAGCCAATAGCCTATTTATACAACACATAATAATAACATTAAAAACGAATATTAATCAGTCAACAATATATATATATATCTTTGTCTGAATATATATATCTTTGTCTGTGATGCGCGCACTAGATTTTTTTATTTTTAATTCTTAAAGATCTTAATTTGCTAATAATGAACACAAGTTTTTACCATATTAAATTACAAAAATCTGGTGCGCGCAACACACAACTTTCCGATCTAATTTGAATAGAATTTATTTTATGGCAATGCTGGGCTATTATAAATTTTTTTGAAGTGCATTCGGAGCTAAATTATAATTACAAAATGACTATTTAATATATCTACGACAGGCAATAAAAATATATTCACTCCATCTACTTTTATAAACCACAGAATGACTAACTCCAATTTCAACATTTTTGAGTGATGTCATTTTAGTAATATTTTTAGTTGAAAAAGTTATCTATGCAGACAATGGGTAAGTTGATACAAGAGGTGGTGATTGCAGTGTTGAAATATAGAACTGAGAATGAAAGTATAAATATAGGTACTACTTTCTTATGAAAGATGTTCTTAGGAAAGATACTTTATTAAATATCTGTAGAAAAAGGTTTTTTTAGTCTCAACAATTAAAAAAATTTTAAATTTATCCAAATTTTCACCTCTTCAGGGAAAAAACTAGAGACCATATCTTTCCTCCTAATTCTCCGATTTTTTTTGTTTTTCTAGGAAATTTCATAAACTTTTAAAAAACCATATACAATATCGACAATAAAGCGTACGTATACTTTTTGAGTTATTCGGAATTTAATTTTAACATCCCTCGTAACTTTTTTTCTAGCTTCTTTTCGTTGAAGTATGTTATACAGATTAATTTAAAAGGGGTCGAGAAAATGACTTTAACGAAGTTTCATTGAAATCGGTACATTCGTTTAGGCGCTACAGTCTGTAGGAACGATGATTTTTCTGCATTTTTTTTTTTCTCCTTTATTAACTTATCAAATTCTTTCTAAAGTTATATGTAGCATTTTTTCGTAACTCTGAATAATGCGAAATGGTTAACTTTTTAAAATAAACCATATTAAAGGTACTTTAGAGGAAGACGTATATGAACATTGGGCATTTAAGCCCTGTAAAGTGACATCAACGGGGATAAGACCTAAATGATATTAAAGACCACTTAATCATACAATGATACACCTTGAGTTTGATCAAAATCGTTAGAGTCGTTTTTGAGAAAATTGTAAAAATGTGTTTCAGCGTTCATATAAAGTGGCACTTCCGGTTAGCCGATTTCAACGAAAAAGCTGCTGTCACATCCGGCCCATATACAAACCTAAAAATACCTAATATCAGTTTCGTACTACTTTTCGTTTATGAGTTAGACTGTTAACACACACACACAGACACACACAGACCATTTTGCGACATTTGGTTATTTGAACTCAGGGGACCTCAAAACATGTATTTCCGTTGAAAACTGAGATTCGAAAATTTTCACGATCGCAATACTTACCCTTACTATATATTACATATATACGTAAGTGAAAGTAAAAAAATAATTTATATCTCTACTTTACGGCCCCAATCTTAAAAGTAGTGGAATAAAGTATAGAATGGATCGATCCAGAAGGCAGTGACTATATGAATTGATAATGGCTTCAGTTAAACTTCCGCATCACAAGATGGAAGTCAAGCAATCGGTGATGTCACCGCTAGATCTGATGTCGGAAAGCAAAACACCACAGGCTAGAGTTGGTGATGTCTTCGTTGAAATTCATCACTTCACTAGGATTCATAGATTTTCTGGATTGTCTGCGCTCACCTATTCCAGAGGAAGGTTCCGGATATCAATAAATTGGTTGATTCCAAACATGATTATCATCGGCGCCATATTGATTATGAACGTGAAGAGCCTTTTTACAACCCGGAAGTTGATGTCGTATCAATGCTCGTCGTATTACTACTTGAACATAGCTCTATTGATCAAATATATTTATGGCGTCGTAGCACACTTTATAGAAAACAACCGGAAGGTGAACCTCCTCAACACATGCCTTTTCAATATTAGAGCTGTGGATTTAGTTTTGTTCACGATCGGGGAACAAAGACCAACTGTAAAATTGCAAGTTAACGGCCTCTTCGCGATTGTTTTGATAGTAACGGCGTTCATCCTACGCCTGAAATTGCACCCTCCTTTACACGAAGCTATCGATATGTTCTTTATTTATGTCATTCACATTTTGATAATACTAATTTTTTTGTTTATAGATAGAATGGCTTCAATTCTTCTTCTAAGTTTCAAATCGTTACGACAAAGCCTCCTCAAATGCTCCAAAATGGAGGAAAAGGATGCGGCTATACTTGCGGAAAAGCTGATCTATTGTCATCATAAACTCTGTAACTCGTGTCGGGATTTAAACGATTTCTGTTCCCTGCAGATTTTAATCATTTTGACAATCGAATTTATTGTATCCTTCGGTGAAGTTTACATGGTCATATGTATTTTCAGCGACAGCAGTTTGGTAGCTGACAAATACACTGTCATAGCAATAAAAGGTCTGTGGTCGGTTCTAGCAATGACAGTTTTATGGCAGATGAGTAAGCAATTTGCTTCTATTCGCAATGAGGTAAATAATTGATAGTAACTTTTCCTCTTGCTTATTTAATTATTATTATTATTATTTACTTTTAACCAATATTTTTTTATTAACACCTGTTACAATATTAAGCATAATTTTTTTTCAAATATTTTATTGGATGATAATACAATCTGCCTCATGAAGAGCAACAAGTATTAGTGCTAAAAGAGTTCATTCATACAATATATACAAACAACAAAAAAAAATAAATAAAAATAAGCAAATATAAACAATAATAAAAAAATATATACATAAATAAATAAAATTAATCTTCTTATAAACATTCATACACAATATTATAATATTCGCTGAGGAAACTCCGAGCTTTATCCTCAACAACAAAGCGAGCTTTAGCCACAAAAGTTTCCAGTGCTTCTCTTCCACTGGTATTAATAACAATTAGTTTATAGATGTTCATTACAAAAAAAAAAAAAGGCGTGTACTTTAGACCACCCGAAAGAAGTTAAAACATCAACAATAATATTTAATATAAATTATAAATAATAGCTCATTATAAAGAGGATGGAATTCTAAACATTTCACTCGCTTACCGTATGCAGGTGCGGTTTTTAGTTTCAGAGATATTTTAGTTTTTGAGATAATTTAATACATATCCAAAATTACTTCAATTAGTCGACTCCAGCTAAGTTTACTCGAACTTTAAAATCTGACGGCTTAATCTAATTCACTCTCAATTAAAAAGTGCAAAACGCGCCTTAAGAATTTTTCACTTAAAAAAAAGGTTCAAATTTGGCACTGCAGTGGCATTTAGTCTCCTCTGCATTTTACTCCTTAATCCTACCTTCACTTTTCGTGATTAAACCTCGAATTTTTAGAAATCAGTTATTTCTACCAATCAGTCAGCATTACCTTACCATCAATCAGAATGTCAATCATCATGACCTTGCAGACTCTTCTTATGCTGAGTGATGAATCCTTCAGTACCGGCCCTACCATCACTACTCTATATAGTGTTGCCCAAAATCGGTCTTGGTCTTGCCCTTTGCAAGACCAAGAGCAGGACTGTTAAAAAAATCTACTAATACTACAATTTTGAATAATAGCTCATGACGAAGAGGATGAACATTTCCCTTGCTTACAGTATGCAGGTCCAATTTTTAGTTTTTGAGATATTTTAATCCATATGCAAAAAAACTTCAATTAGTCAACTCCCACCGATTTTACCCGAGCGTTACACATCGGAGATCTGACGACTCATCAAATTCACTCTCCACAAATAAAGTGCAAAACAGGCCTAAAGAAATTTTCATAAAAAAAATAATGGCATGAGAGACAGTTGTACTCAGCGGCACATCTTCCTGGCGTGATATCTGCATTAAATTTTAATCGGCAGGTCCCTCATCCAGCTCCTCTTCAACCTTCGACGGACGTTGTCTGACATATGTGTTATGACATGTCGCATTTAAGCATGTTGGTTTGTCCTCGTAATTTGTCATGAAATCGGTTATAATGGGTTCGTATGTCTTCGGTAAAAGTCGGTATACGTAAGTCTGTCTGTAAGCTTATGTTGCTAACGTACAAAGGTGCTTTTGTAATTTTCTTGAATGTTTTTGTTTGAAAGATTTGAAGTTTGTTAATGTAAATCTTGTAAGCTGTTGCAAATATCTGTGATGCGTAATTCGAAATAGGTTTTAGTAAGTTTTTTTTTTTTCATTTCTTAATGATATTTACAACTGTATAAAAGAAATACATTTAGGAAATTTGAAAATATGGATATACTGACGTGAAAACACTTGCTGAGAAACTAATCAATGGTAGCACTCTAATGAAATGTCTACATTAGGAGTTCACGGGACCATCTTCTTTTCAGATGCCTCGAAGGGTTATCAGGAATTGAAGAGGAAGCAAGATTAGAAACGAGAGGATTGGGATCCTGAAGTTTATTATGGAAGGATAGGTATATCTGGATTAGGCCAGATCTGAAACATAAGAAATATTAAGGTTATTATGGATGGTTTTGTTTGTAACAAAGTAGGGAGCATTGAAAATTTTAGGAAGGATTTTGGATTGTAAGGATTGGATATGAGAGTAATTCGATGGTTTAGTAGAGCTCCATAACTCGATTCCGTAAGTCCAAATTGACCTTAATATAGTCATGTATATGAGTCATTTGTAATAAATTTTTAGAACCATAGAGCGTTTGTCTAATAAGTGCTGAAGTAGTCGGAAACGTCGAACGGTTTCTTGTCGTTTCAGTTTGGTATGTTTTTTTTTAGTAAGTTATTTTATGTGTTCACGTTCTGTATAAGTATTAGTTTTGAGTGTTTCGAAAGAGGTGAACTTAGAAGTCTTAGTCTTTGATTATTTTTTATTTTTTTTTTTATATGTGGGTACCATATCATTTTTCGGTCAAATGTCAGACCAAGGAACGGTGTCTGTGGAATTGTCCAGGAAAATGGGTATTGTCCAGAAAACTGGATGACATGTTTCACGTCGAAGGGTATACGTGATATGCTGTATCTGTCTTGATTTACTCGAATTTTCAATAACATCTTGAAGCTATTTAATCTTGTTAAATACGGTTGTAGGGTCAGTGAAGAATGTGTTGGATTACTGTGTCTTGCTAAAATTGATGTGTCGTCTACATATGTCGCTGTTAAAATGTTTGAATTACAAGGTATATCGTGGGTATATGTAATACTTAATAATGGAGCGAGTACTGAACCTTGGGGTACTCCTGCTGAGATATAGCTAATAGAAGATATTGGGTTGGCAAATAAGTCCTTTTGGTTTTTTTGTTTATTTTTATGTCACTATTATACACTTCTTATCTGTTGAAGTAATCCCTAAGGTGGGTTGTTTATCCTGTTTGTAATATGTCAACAACTACATCTGTTAACTCTTGTTGAAACTAGCTTAGTATTGTGTTTGCTATTTCACAGTGAATATAGAAGAAAATATCATTCATTATCGACATATTTCGTTGTATTATTTAAAAAAAAGGAAGCGTGCTGCAGAAGCTCATAGAAAAATTCGAAATGTTTATGGGGATGATGCCTTAACCGAATGCCCCTGTCAAAACTCGGATCGCATCTAAAAAAGAAAATGCTTTCCCTACGGTGGGATTTAAATAACAACAAACATTCATGAAGAGTTATGAATAATCAGAAGGGTGTTGTGTTCCACCTACACAACGCTAGTTCCCACACCTCATTGGTCACTCCCAATAAATTATTGAGTTGAATGGGACCTTTTGCCCCACCCTCCTTATTCACCAGACCTAGCTCCAAGTGACTACCACTTATTTCGGTCTCTGAAGAACTCCATGATTGGAAATTAATTCCAGAAGGAAGACCACATCAAAAACCACTTGGATAAGTTTTTTAACAATAAAATCCTGACATTCTATGAACATGCCATTATGCAGTAAGTGGAAAGGTACGAAAAAGCCTTATTAAATAATGGTCAATATATTATAGATTAAAATAAATTTTATGTCTGTAATACATTGAGTTTTATTTCATCCTGGAAAACCGAAAGGACTTATTTGCCAACTCAATATAAATAAAGGAAGTATAAAATAGAGTAAAGTAAACGGTAATAAAGCTGAGCATTACAAAATAGCGGTAGCGATATTAGGATATAAAGATAACGGTAACAAAGTTAGAGATTTATAAAATAATGTTACTTACTGTTATTTTATTATTGTTTATTTCACCGTTATATTAATTTTATTTAATTACTTCCTAAGCTTGTTCCTTTATTTCATAAGTCTCTAATTTTGCTATCCCTATTCTTTATTTCCCAACTTTCTTATCGTTATTTTATACTTTCTTTACTTATGCATTATATATTTGCCAAGCCACATATGTATTAATGTGGGGCCGCGGTGGTCAAGCGAGTTAAGGTGCCTACAAATATTTTTTAAGCTACGAGTTAAAATCGCATTCGCGAGATTTATAACAAAAAAAAATTGATAAAAAATAAAATAATTAATAATAAATAAAATTAAATATAAATAAGTGCAGTCCCTATTCGATTGCTCAGACGAGTAAAATAGAACCAAATAATTGATAATAGATTGTCTAGAATAGTTCCGTAGCTGCTAATGACTAATGACGGAAGTCAATAAGTAAAGAGACGTTAGAATATATATATATATTTTCATGAATCATGAATGGCTTCGTAAGATTTGTCAATTGAACCCCGAGACGTTCTCGTGTATCTCACTACTACGCCGAGTTAGGGTGGCTCTTCCCCTCCTTCAGAAGACAATATTTCCTAGGTGCATTCCTTTACCAAATAATCCATAATCATTGTCCGTCCTACGCATTTAATCTCCTTCAATTCAAGTCATCTATCCACTCACTCTCCATAAGATCTCGTCCGTCTGACCTTTATACCCCTTTCCACAAATCTGCCTCCTTTCAACACTCCTTTATTGTCCGCTCCACTACCTTTTGGAATTCCATCCCACTTAAAATCCGCCATGCACCATTCCTATCCATATTTAAAACCCTCCTATTCCAATTTCTCCTTATAATTCAATCAGACGCTGGGTAACCATTTATCATGTAACAAAATTACATTTTTCTCTATTTATCATTTGTATATAAATATATATTCTTTTTTGAGCATGGAAAAGATGTCTAGTCACGTTCTGTAATGTAAATATAATAAGGTAAATACTTCTGCTATCACGTAGTTTTTAGTTGTTTTTTTTTTATTGTAATATGTATTTTGGCCTGATGGAATGTTAATTTTTATGTACTAAATTGTTATTCTTAAGGGACGTTGTTTTATATATATATATATATATATATTAATGCTAAGTTTAAACTAACTCCGCGTTATTACAGAATATATCTTCTAACTACATATTATTACTATTATCGCCTACTTGTTTCTCATATTTGTTTTATCTCTTTTTTTCTTTCCCTGACGAAGACCTGAAACTTGGGCCGAAACCTCGACAAGGAGCTCTTTATGAGCCATTGACATTGGGGAGGGTGGACAACCTTGCATTAATATCTGACAGCGATTCAGTACTAAATAACTTTAAACAATACAATGATATTCCCTTATTTTAAAAAGAAAATTATATTTCATCACGCTGGGTTTTAAAGTATTATTGATTATTAATTTGTAATAGTTATTATTATTCTATAATATTCGAGGAATAGAATCGTCAATTTCCCTTTCTATATAAGACACCAATTCTTCGCCTAAAAGGTTTTGATTCAGAAAGGATGAAATGAATCGATTAAGATGGCGGTGGCGATATGAATTGATAAGTTAGCTAATGGCTACTGTTAAATTCGCAAAAAGGAAGATGGCCGCCAACCATCGTTGATTGTCATAACGAGCCCGAATGTTGAAAACGAAAACGTCTCCGACGAAAGTTGGGGATGTCTTCGTTGAGGTTCACGATTTCTCTAGAATCCATAGGTTCGTAGGATTGTCTGCACTCACATATTCCAGAGGAAGGTTCCGTATATCGATGAAATGGTTGATCGCGAATCTGATTATCATCAGCTGTGTATTGATAATAAACGTGAAGACCTGTTTTACAACGCGGAAGGTGATTTCGTACCACTGCTCACTGTATTACTACTTGAGCATCGCTCAATTCTTGTCCAATTCTTATGGCGTCATAGGAAACATGATACAATGCGTCCGGAAAGTGGACCTCCTCAACAGATGTCTCTTAAACATAAGAGCTGTCGATTTGGTTTTGTTCTCTATTGGAGAACGTAGACCTGCAACAAGAGTCCATTTTAACTTCTTGTTCGTAATGGTGTTGATTGTAACGACGTTCACCCTCCGACTTCATTTGCGTCCTCCTTTATTCGATGCAATCCACCTATTTTTCATGTACGCCATACATACTTTGATGGTACTCATATATTTATTCGTAGATAGGATTGCTTCCATCCTTCTTCTTAGTTTCAAATCGTTAAGACAAAGTATCGAGAAGTGCTCTGGTGTGTTCTCTTCGGCTCAACTTGCAGAGAAATTGATCCACTGTCACCATAAACTGTGCAACTCATCTAGGTACTTCAACGAATTCTCTTCCCAACAGATTTTAGCAATCTTGACAGTCGAGTTCATTACATCCTTCGGCGAAGTTTACGTTGTTATATGTATATTATTAAATGATTGTTTGGCAGGTTACAAAATCATTCTTATAGTAATAAAAAGTTTGTGGTCAGTGATAGCACTAACGTTATTGTGGCAATTGAGTCATCAATGCGCTTCTATTCGCAACGAGGTAACTGATTAATTAATTAATTAATTAATTAATAACTGTTTCCTCATTTTTATTTAATTTTTTTTAATTTTCACTAACCCATACAGTATGTAATTTAAGTATAGGAAAATATTTAAGAAGATGATAGCAGATCTGAAGAGCTACAGAAAAGTAAACATTAACAATGGTCTAATATTCAGCAGAGGCAAGGTTTTTTGTTGAATGGGAAGTGTTAAGTAAAAAAATATTTAGTGTAAATAATTAATAATTGTACCACAGTAAAGCGAATAAAATTTAATTTAATTAAAATCAGAATTTTTTATTGATAAAAACATTTAAAGGAGGCTGTAAAGGGGCTAAACTAAGGTAAGTTTTGTTATAAAAATATCATAAATTATTCGTGATTTTTTTTATCACCCTTCAACTAAACTACTGTTACCTCACTTTTAGAAAAATATCCTTGATTTATAAGCATTAAGTCCACAATGAATTAACTGAAGGTTAATAAGGAAATAAGTTGAGATTCATTTCAGGTTGTGAAAAAAAAAAATATGTGATTTAATTTCCTGTCACATAGAAATGCTTGCGATTTCAGAGAAAATTACTACTATAAATTATTACAAAGCTTTAATTTATTTTTTTCCAGAACCTGGAATGTATTACAAAAAAATAATTGCATAAATACACTTTTTTTTTTACTTTTTAACACAACTAGAGATAAATCTTTGTCCGCATTAAACTCCATCTTAATTAATATGTACTTGAAGCCTATTAAATAAAGACATTTTTCTAAAATTTAAGTATCTGTAATATAATTGGAGGATGGTAAAAAAAGTCACAAACTTTTAAAACAGAGCTTAGTTTAACCAATTAAAAGTCCTCTTTAAATAGTTATAATAATGACAAACTCTGTTTTAATTTAAATTAAATTTTGTCTAGTTTACAATGAAGCAATTTCTTATTAGTTCAATTTTAATAAAAAACATGTCTTACTTAAAAAAATACATGTCTTACTTAAAAAAACTTATATGCTTATTTCTCTACTGAAAATAGTACTAACGCCCAATATCATATTTTTTTTAAATCTTGATCTGCTACCACTTTCATAAATATCCCCTCTACTTGCTGGATATCCTTTTAGTATTTAGAGCTGATAAACTGCAATTGTGTAGTTTGAATAGATTGATAGAGTTACGAGGTATTTATTAACTATAGTTGACATAATAAATAAGATTGTTCTTTTTTTTATGGTCTTAATGAAATTTCGCATCGATAAATAAGACCAAAATTCACGCTGCTATTGAAATAAATTTAACTTAAAAAACTTAGAAATTAAGAAAATAATTTGTTCTCAAAGTAGAGAGATAAGACAAAATGTGTGATGTGTGAACCAGATGTTTTCGAATAGTAGGTAGATATATAGATTGAATTTTAGAGGTGAAAAATCTGTCACAATCTAGAGCATTGAGTATTATGTCCCTATTTTTACATTCATACATTTTATATACACATTTATTATTATTATTTATTTATTTATTTTTGACATATTGTGCCATTTGCAGCGCACCTAGCAAGTTTGATATGTTAGGGATTAGTTGCGAGTTTTCTTGATTAGCTTCATTTTGTATTTATTGTAGTAGGTCCCCCTGCCATTTTCTTTCTAATCTGCGTCGATCAGGTAACACGGAGCAGGATATAGAAAGGACTAATGGATTGAAGTGATTTAGAATTGAAGAGTGAAACGAAGTGTATTTGCTGTGGATATAGGATTTTACTGTTGTAATGTTCAAGTCGTTAGGTATAGTATTATTTGAAATGTACCAAAGTGAGTTGGCAATTTTTCGTAGAATGTTTGATTGTGTTCTTTGTATTAAACAAATTAAAATATTAATTCAGAAAATGAAATAGAAGAAAACAAGTAAGTAAAAATATAAAAATTAAAATAAGAAAAAGAAATAAACTTGAAAAAATGAAAAAAGTGTAGTTTCTGAATAGAGATTTTAGTTAAGTATTTAACATGATGTCAATTATTTAAATATGAAACTTGTTACTTCTCTAAGAAATATTAAAAGATCTTTCAAACAGAATAATGTTTGAAGAGAAGAATAGTTGGGGTGATCAGTCAAATAAGAAGGCAAAAATAAATGATAATATTTATGTTGTCATTTTGATAGGCAGCCATGATGAAGGCCTGAACTTCAGGTCGAAACGTCGGCAAATGTCAAAATCAATGTCGGCAAATTGACTGATCACACCAACTATTCTTCTATTCATTATCCACGACAGTCAACCATTTACCCACAAGTAGAATTAGGCTTCAAAAATTAAAATAAATAAAGCAAATAGACTTGAACAAGCATAATGACATGGCAGCTTTAAGGCATCAATTGTTCCCTTAAAAGGTTTTGCTTTACAAAGCATAAGAAGAAAGCGGCAGTATGAATCGATAACTTAATGGCCGCTGTAATAAATTGAATTCCCTTTTCCCCTAATCGGGAGATGACTGTCAAACCACTGGTCCGAATGCCGAAAAGCAAAACGTCATCGACAGCAGTTGAGGATGTCTTCGTCGAGGTTCACAATTTCTCTAGAATCCATAGGTTTGCAGGATTGTCTGCGCTCACTTATACCAGAGGAAGGTTCCGAATATCGATAAAATGGTTGATCGCGAACCTGATTATCATCAGCTGTGTATTGATAATAAACGTGAAGACCTGTTTTACAACGCGGAAGGTGATTTCGTACCACTGCTCACTGTATTACTACTTGAGCATCGCTCAATTCTTGTCCAATTCTTATGGCGTCATAGGAAACATGATACAATGCGTCCGGAAAGTGGACCTCCTCAACAGATGTCTCTTAAACATAAGAGCTGTCGATTTGGTTTTGTTCTCTATTGGAGAACGTAGACCTGCAACAAGAGTCCATTTTAACTTCTTGTTCGTAATGGTGTTGATTGTAACGACGTTCACCCTCCGACTTCATTTGCGTCCTCCTTTATTCGATGCAATCCACCTATTTTTCATGTACGCCATACATACTTTGATGGTACTCATATATTTATTCGTAGATAGGATTGCTTCCATCCTTCTTCTTAGTTTCAAATCGTTAAGACAAAGTATCGAGAAGTGCTCTGGTGTGTTCTCTTCGGCTCAACTTGCAGAGAAATTGATCCACTGTCACCATAAACTGTGCAACTCATCTAGGTACTTCAACGAATTCTCTTCCCAACAGATTTTAGCAATCTTGACAGTCGAGTTCATTACATCCTTCGGCGAAGTTTACGTTGTTATATGTATATTATTAAATGATTGTTTGGCAGGTTACAAAATCATTCTTATAGTAATAAAAAGTTTGTGGTCAGTGATAGCACTAACGTTATTGTGGCAATTGAGTCATCAATGCGCTTCTATTCGCAACGAGGTAACTGATTAATTAATTAATTAATTAATAACTGTTTCCTCATTTTTATTTTTTATTTTTTAATTTTCACTAACCCATACAGTATGTAATTTAAGTATAGGAAAATATTTAAGAAGATGATAGCAGATCTGAAGAGCTACAGAAAAGTAAACATTAACAATGGTGTAATATTCAGCAGAGGCAAGGTTTTTTATTGAATGGGAAGTGTTAAGTAAAAAAATATTTAGTGTAAATAATTAATAATTGTACCACAGTAAAGCGAATAAAATTTAATTTAATTAAAATCAGAATTTTTTATTGATAAAAACATTTAAAGGAGGCTGTAAAGGGGCTAAACTAAGGTAAGTTTTGTTATAAAAATATCATAAATTATTCGCGATTTTTTTTATCACCCTTCAACTAAACTACTGTTACCTCACTTTTAGAAAAATATCCTTGATTTATAAGCATTAAGTCCACAATGAATTAACTGAAGGTTATAAGGAAATAAGGTGAGATTCATTTCAGGTTGTGAAAAAAAAATTATGTGATTTAATTTCCTGTCAGATAGAAATGTTTGTGATTTCAGAGAAAATTACTACTATAAATTATTACAAAGCTTTAATTTATTGGTTTGTTATTTTCAATAATCAACCATTGTGATCGACCAAAAAATTCAAAAACTTAACCCCCTCTCAAAATTTGAGGTTCTCAGGTTTCAGGATGCGTAGAATTCGAAAAACGAATAAAAAATTTTTTGTCCGTCCGTTGTCCGCGCTTTTTTTCCGAAACTACTGGACCGATTTTTTTTCTATTTTGGATATAAAATCAGAGGTCACCCGAAGATGATCCTCCTTCATCGACATTGTTATCCGCCTTTTACTTTCAAAATGGCGGCTGAAAAACCTGCGTTGCTATAGACTCTGTAGCGCCTAAACAAATGTAGCGATTCCAATGAAACTTCGCTAAAGTCATTTTCTCTACGCCCTTTAAATTTATCTATATAACATACTTCAACGAAAAGAATCTGGAAACGAGAGTTACGAGGGATGGTAAAATTAAATTCCGAATAACCCAAAAAGTTTGCACTTTTTTGTAGATATTCTGATAAGATGTTTTAAAAATATTCAAATTTACTAAATAAAATCGGACAATTAGGAACAAAGATATGGTCTCCGGTTTTTTTTTATATATTCTACTCCAAATGTTATATCGTTTGTTTGGTTTTTAAATTTTGAATGTGTTACTGAAGTAATGCTAATTTTTTTTTTTTTAGGATATTACTAATGATTAAAAAAAAAAGTTTAGTCCAATAATTGGATTCGCCTTTTATTTTTTTTATTTTTAACTAGGAAGGTAATGTTACTTTAGATGTATAATAGTATGGAAATAATAAACCATTGTGGAATAATTTGAAGCGTTTTTTTCTATGACCTGGAATGTATTAAAAAAATAATTGCATAAATACACCTTTTTTAACTTTTTAACACAACTTGAGGTGAATCTCAATTTTTCCGCATTAAACTCAAACTTAATTAATATTAACTTGAAGCTTATTAAATAATGACATTTTTTCTAAAAATTAGGTATCTTTAGTATAGTTGGAGGATGGTAAAAAAAAGTCACAAACTTTAAAAACAGTGCTTAGTTTAGCCGCTAAAAAGTCCCCTTTAAATGATTATAATAATGACAAACCCTATTTTAATTTATATTAAATTTTGTCTAGTTTACAGTAAAGCAATTTTTTATTAATTAATTAATTTTTTTCTTTAGTTATCTCTTCCTATTCAATAAACAACATGCCTTACTTAAAAAGATACAAAACCTATATGTTTATTTCTCTACTGAAAATAGTACCAACGTTCAATATCATATTTTTTTTAACTCTTGAGATCTGCTACAACTTTCATAAATATCCCCTCTACTTGCTGGATATCCTGTATTCATAGAATATATGTGTTGTTTGTTTACTTTCAAATCTTAGTATTTAGAGATAAGGAACCGAAGTTGTATAGTTTGAATATACTGATAGAGTTACGAAGTATTTATTCTCAACAGTTGACATAATAAATAGAAATTATTTTACTTTGATGGTCTTGAAAAAATTTCGCATCGATAAATAAGACCAAAATTCAAGCTGTTATTGAAATAAATTTAACTTAAAAATTAAGAAAATAATTTGTTCTCAAAGTAGAGAGGTAAGACAAAATGTGTGATGTGTGAACCAGATGTTTTCGAATAGTAGGTAGATATATAGATTGAATTTTAGTGAAGAAAAAATAATACAATCTGCCTCAATCTAGAGCATTGAGTATTATGGCTCTATGTTTACATTCATACATTTCATATACACATTTATTATTATTATTTATTTATTTGCAGCGCACCTAGCAACTTTGATATGTTAGGGATTAGTTGCGAGTTTTCTTGATTAGCTTCATTTTGTATTTATTGTAGTAGGTCCCCCGGCCATTTTCTTTTTAATCTGCGTCGATAAGGTAACAAGTAGCAGGATACAGAAAGGACTAATGGATTGAAGTTATTTAGAATTGAAGAGTGAAATGAAGTGTATTTGCTGTGGATATAGGATTTTACTGTTGTGTTCAAGTCGTTATGTATAGTGTTATTTGAAATGTACCAAAGTGAGTTGGTAATTTTTCGTAGAATGTTTGATTGTGTTCTTTGTATTAAACAAATTAAAATATTAATTCAGGAAAAATGAAATAGAAGAAAACAAGTAAGAAAAAATATAAAAATTAAAATAAGAAAAAGAAATAAAGTTGTAAAAATGAAAAAAGTATAGTTTTCGAATAGAGATTTTAGTTAAGTATTTAACATGATGTCAATTATTTAAATATGAAACTTGTTTCTTCTCTAAGAAATATTAAAGGATCTTTCAAATAGAATAATGTTTGAACAGAAGAATAGTTGGGGTGATCAGTCAAATAAGAAGGCAAAAATAAATGATAATATTTATGTTGTCATTTTGACAGGCAGCCACGATGAAGGCCTGAACTTCAGGTCGAAACGTCGGCAAATGTCAAAATCAATGTCGGCAAATTGACTGATCACTCCAACTATTCTTCTCTTCATTATCCACGACAGTCAACCATTTACCCACAAGTAGAATTAGGCTTCAAAAATTAAAATAAATAAAGCAAATAGACTTGAACAAGCATAATGACATGGCAGCTTTAAGGCATCAATTGTTCCCTTAAAAGGTTTTGCTTTAGAAAGCATAAGAAGAAAGCGGCAGTATGAATCGATAACTTAATGGCCGCTGTAATAAATTGAATTCCCTTTTCCCCTAATCGGGAGATGACTGTCAAACCACTGGTCCGAATGCCGAAAAGCAAAACGTCATCGACAGGAGTTGAGGATGTCTTCGTCGAGGTTTACAATTTCTCTAGAATCCATAGGTTTGCAGGATTGTCTGCGCTCACTTATACCAGAGGAAGGTTCCGAATATCGATAAAATGGTTGATCGCGAACCTGATTATCATCAGCTGTGTTCTGATAATAAACTTGAACACCATATTTACCACTCGGAAGGTAATATCGTACCAATGTTCACTTTATTACTACTTGAACATCGCTCAATTGTTAACAAACACTTATGGCATCATAGGAAATATGGTAGAGTCCATCCGAAAAATTAAACTCCTCAACAGCTGTCTCTTCAATATAAGAGCTGTCGATTTAGTTTTGTTCTCTATTGGAGAAAAGAGGCAAACTACAAAAATGCATTTTTATATCCTGTTCGTTATGGTATTAATTACAACGACTTACATCCTCCGTTTACAATTGCATCCTCCTTTATTCGATGCTATCAACATACTCTTCATGTACGCCATACATATTTTGATGATGCTCACTTATTTTTTCATAGACAGGATCTCTTCCATTCTTTTTCTTAGTTTTAAATCTTTAAGACAAAGTCTACTGAAATGCTCTAGCATGGACGGAAAGAAGGGAGCTTTACTTGCAGAGAAATTGATCTATTGTCATCATAAACTCTGCAACTCATCTCGAGATTTCAACGAATTCTCTTCTCTGCAGATTTTAATATTTTTGACACTTGAGTTCGTAATATCCTTCGGCGAAGTTTATGCTGTCATATGTATATCACTTGATGGATAACAGAAACACGATTGTAATCGTAAAAAGTTTGTGGTCGATAATATCATCAACGTTATGCTGGCAGTTGAATCATCTATGCGCTTCTGTTCGTAACGAGGTAATTGATTACATAATTAGTTATTAATTGATGATTAGGATAAGCGCACCAGTGAAAGACAAAGCTAAGAAATTTTTGTCTTAATCCGCCATAATCATTATAGTTATAAACTTCTCCGTTGAACATTTAGAATCTCTAGAGTCTCCTTTCTCCACGGGCGGATCTACGTGGGGGTCTTTCGGGCTGAAGCCCCCCCCCAAAACGCCAAAATATAACCATGTTTTATCGAAAAAAATATTAAAAAACTATCTCATAAAGTATTATTGTTCGTGTAATTACGTTTTAAAGGGCTTTAGGAATCACTTAAACACCATTTGATACAAGTAGTTAGCTTCTTTCTTTTTTCCAAATTAATTATCGTTATTTGTATGAAAAAAAAATCTTTCGGGCTGAAGCCCCCCCCCAAAATTAAATCCTGGATCCGCTAGTGCCTTTCTCTATTTAACACTTCAAGAATAAAATAAAATGTGTCCACTCACACGACTTTCTTACCTATTTCAGAAAAGTTTTTATATCTTTACATATGTTCATGAAGAAACAAAAAAGAATGTTCCTGAAAATTGATCAAACATATGACTTGAGCACGATTTATTTGATAAACTGAAGCAATGTAAACCGGCTTAAGGTAGATCAGTTTAAACATTTCAATACTTCCTAATATTTCTGATCAAAAACTTCTTGGCACAGCTTGTCAAACAATAATTTCTTTTAAAAGTAGAGGAAATAGTGAAGATTGTGTGATGCGGGCAACAGATTTTCTTACTTTCACTTAGTCATCTTTATTCTCTCATTCATCCCTTTCTGACACCAGGATATGAAACCGTAATCTTACATTGGAAATTGAATAGGTGTAACTTCGTTAATAGTTGTCCACAATGATCAATTTTTATATGGCTTTTAGGGAATTTCATTATCTATTCTTCGTATTTACATTTTTCTTTTCTTTATAACTTCTTTTCCTGAATTTTTTCGGGAATTCATTTTATATACGAAAATTGTATTTGTAGTGTGTTTATATACACCAGTAATATCGCCATTTTTGCAGCTAACCATATATTTTGTCTTACCCGTGTTTATTTCAAGCTGTGGTGCTTTACCGGCTTTCATTAACGTTGACTTATTTAGTTTTATAGTTTCCGTGTCTTCGCTTAACAGGGCCAGATCATCCGCATAGCCAAGCACGGGAGTAGTTCCACTCAGATCCAACCCTTTTTCGGTACTCATCACCTCCCTAATGGCATGTTCTAATGCCAAATTGAACAGGACAGGCTAATGCGAATAACCCTGTTTTAAACCCGCACGAACCTCAAACTTTTCGGATTCTAACTTTAGTGAGTGTTTCCGTCAAGCACATCCTGACTAGATTTACTTTTTTTTTTGGAATACCCTGCTCAATTAGAATATTATACAGTTTCTGACGGTCAATAGAATTGTAAGCCTTTTTACATCAGGAAGATCCATGACTATTTCTGGTGTATGGTGAACTAAGGACATGTGAGTAGGGCGTTCAATTCTACGTCACACCCTCCAGCAAATCTGGTGGGCCCCTGCCTTTAGCAAGTCTGGAGATCCCCTCCCTCCAGCAAGTCTGGAGGTCCCCTCTCATTGTGGTAAGCGAGTCCATCGGATTTAGCCAGGAGGAACTTCCAAGAAATTTCCAACAACCATCTCCACATCCGCCACCTGTGGGACGTTCCCCATATGTAGTAATGAGAGCGCGCGAGGTCTTTTATTATAAATTAAAGGTAATTTTTGTTGATCTTAAAATGAAGAATATGAAATTTCTATTATTTATATCCTTGTTCTCATTCATGTCAGCTATAAAATCATTCCAAATCAAACAATGTACTGATACAACAAAACTATTATCTTAATTTTCATTTTTATTTATTTTTATGAATGTCGTATGGATTTGAAATATGTTTTGTTCGGGTCAGAAATAGTTTTATATGATGAATCTATAAAAATATAATAACATCAATATTAACATTTTTACACGTAAAAGTTCAAAGAAATTTCCGTAAGCATATCAGCTATTGGTGCATCTACCCTAATCATTTTGATTAAACTCGTTATATAAATGTAAAATGAATTCTATGCTTTGTGGAATGAACCATTATCCACTACTTTCAAGATTGGTGTGTATAAAGAAATGAATTGTGATAAGTAATATGATAGAAGTATGCATACAAATGTTGCTGAAAGGCGGCAATCTCAGAAGTTGTGGGTAATGATTCATTCCATAAAGCACAGAATGGATCGATCAAGAAGGCAGTGACAGGATGAATTGATAATGGCTTCAGTTAAACCATCCTATCACAAAATGAAAGTCAGCCCATTGCTGATGTCATACTTAGCCCCGATGTCGAAAAGCAAAACATCACAGGCAAGAGTTCGTGATGTCTTCATTGAAATTCATCATTTCACTAGAATTCATAGGTTTGCTGGATTGTCTGCGCTCACCTACTCAAGAGGAAGGTTCCGGATATCGATACAATGGTTGATCGCGAACCTGATAATCATCAGCACCATATTGATTATAAACTCGCAGACCATTTTTACTACCCGGAAGTCGATGTCGTATCAATGCTCACTATATTACTACTTGAACATCGCCCTATTGTTCAACTATGTTTACGGCGTCGTAGCACATTTCATCGAAAGCAACCGGAAGATCAACCTCCTCAACAGATGCCTCTTCAATATTAGAGCTGTCGATTTAGTTTTATTCTCTATTGGAAAGCAGAGACCTACTGCTAAAATACATTTCAATTTCCTCTTCGTGATTTTTTTGATAGTGACGACTTACATCCTACGCCTACAATTGCATCCTTCTTTACAGGAAGCTTTCTATATTCTGATTATTTATATCACACACAGTTTGTTCGTGCTCATTTATTTTTTCATATACAGGATGGCTTCCATTCTTCTTCTCAGTTTCAAATCCTTACGACAAAGTCTCCTTAAATGCTTCAGAATGGACGAAAGAAATGCGGCTATGCTTGCGGAAAAGTTGATCTATTGTCACCATAAACTGTGTAATTCATGTCGGGATTTCAACGACTTCTGTTACCTGCAGATTTTAGTCATTTTGACAATCGAATTTATTGTATCCTTCGGTGAAGTTTACATTGCTATATGCATTTGTAAAGATGGCAGTTTGGTAGCTGGCAAAAACATTATTATAGCCGTAAAAAGCTTGTGGTCTGTGATAGCAATGACAGTGCTGTGGCGCATGAGCCATCAATTCGCTTCTGTTCGTAAGGAGGTAACTGATTAAACAATTAATTAAATACAACTGTTTTATTTTTTTATACTGTTATTATTATAACTTTCACTTATCTGTATATGTAATATACAGTAATGGCTACATTTAAAATATATTTAATGATTTCATATACATAAATAAAAAAGTCAATCTACCTGGACAACCCTAGCGACCGGCGAGCAATAAACAGTAAAGGACAGACTGGCACAACCCCAAACCCTAATGCATTTTTACATATGGTAAACACATAGACTAATGTCTAGGGACCATATATATTTGAGGAGGAGCAATCATCGGGTATGGTCGGCTTCTACCGTCAATGACCGGCCTCTGCTTATTCAGCTGTATTGACGAGGGTGTGGCAGAGATTTTCCGTTACAACTCCGACAGTGACAGCTCCTGGAAAATTACTGTGACATAGTGATTTTTTTTTCCCGGTGATAAATATATAATAGCTCCTTAGCTAAAACGTCACTGTGAAATCACAGTTTACGGGTTTAAACTTACACTTATATATATATATTTTGTCTTCAAATCTTCATCCGCACCTATCATGGTAGTGACGATTAGCAGATTTGTTGTTAGGTAGCAAATGGCATGATAGGCATGACGAAGAATGGAGGCCAGCAGCACCTCTTCCCTGGTCTGTTTACATCCTAAAATCAGGAAAGGAGATCCCTCTTCCACTCTAATTTCAAGAGCACTATAGATACAAAAATGATAGCCATTTTAAAATTTTCATTTGGGAACTTTGTTCATACAGTTGTCAATAAAGGGCATTGTTCAATCTAGAAAAAACTGGAACCTTTAAATCAACAAGGGAACTTATTATTTACATTTAAAGTCTAATCTGTCCATGACTAGGCACCCTGTCTAAAATTGGTTCGTTTACCTTATTGTTTATAATTTTTTTCCAATTAGTAAAATTATTTATTATGTTTTAGTTGGGTAATGAAATATAGGAGTGGTTTTAAAATTTGATATATTATTTTTAAATTCATTAAAATTATTTCAGACTCAACTTGAACATTTTTTTTCCATTCAAGTAACGCAAAGATAGAATCTTCTGTAAATTAATGGTAGTTGGGGTGGAGAAGGGTTGTAGATCGATAAGGCAAGAAAGGGTGGCGAAGCTGGAGTTTATGCAGGTTTCCAAATGTCTAGGCCTGCGGAGAATTAACTTTGAAAGTGAAGTAAAAGCAGTTATTCTCTTCTTGGAAGTGATAAAAAAGTTTCAACCAAAAAAAGTTGTAATCCTAAAATACAGGGTGTTTCAGGATTAAGTGGCCAAACTGACAAAATGAACTAAGCACCTCAAAACAAGAAAAAAATATCCTCTGAAGATATGTTCGAAAAAGCCTTGTTTAGGAGATATTCACACCTAAAGATTTTCGTTGTTATGAATCATCTATATGAATAATTCCGCAATTAGACAAATGAAATTATTAAGTGACATGAATTGATTGAAAAGCTGATCTTAGAAGGCACGGATGTCGTTTTACATCGGATACCAGGACACTATGGGTAATCAGGTAATGAAAAAGCTGACAAATTGAAAACAGAAGATCCCTCATCCAGCTCCTTTTCAATGGTCTCCTGATGAGCATTTCGGTCGTAGATAAGTCCATTGTGATGTCCGTGTAGTTTAGAATGAAATCGGCAGTAGAGAGTATGTATGTGCTGGTCAATGGTGGGTTGTCTTAGGTTGATATGTAAAGTCTAGTTGTTGACATACCAGGGAGCTGCATTTATTAGTCTTAAAATTGTAGATTGAAATGATTGTATGAGAAGGAGTTAATTGGGGGATGCGGTCAAATAAATACTAAATTAAAATATAGTAATTATTTAAGTTTGCCGACGTTTCGACCCACTTTGCAGGTCGCCTTCAGGGCTACAAAAGATACAAAACCTGTTGAAAATAAAAAATAAATATAAATAGATTATAAAATAAGAAGAAGTTGTCAGATATAGAAATAAAAAGATGATATCAGAGACATTGTCACCCACTATATCTCTGATATCATCTTTTTATTTCTGTATCTGACAACTTCTTCTTATTTTATAATCTATTTATATTTATTTTTTATTTTCAACATGGTTTGTATCTTTTGAAGCCCTGAAGACGGCCTGCAAAGTGGGTCGAAACGTCAGCAAAAATTAAATAATTACTATATTTTAATTTAGTATTTATTTGACCGCACCCCCAATTAACTCCTTCTTATATTATATCAACGGTTAACCATCTCTACATCATTATGAAATGATTGTAGTTTTTGTAAGTGAGTCTTATTAGCTGAACCGTAAATCTGTGAGACGTATGTCCAAATGGGTTTGATCAGGTAAAAATATATATTATGTTTTTTGTCTAATTTTCAATTTTGATTTAGAAAACAGTGAATATAGTATTTTCAATCGCTTGTTCAAAGTCTTTCTTTTCAAAACTTATATTACAATAAAAAAAAAAAAATTTTCCAGTGATGAATATTATATTTGACAGGAGGAAATATCTCTGGGATCCCTTGGTTTCTGTATACAGCCCTGCAGAGAATATTTGAACTTATTTAATTTTTAATTCAGTTTTTATTTATGTTTCAACAGTTAAATGAAAAACTTTCCGTTAATTATATAAGACATAACTCATTCAGGAATAAATGGCAATGAATGTTCAATTCATCTAAAGTTCAAAAAATATTTTTTATAAAATTTGACAAATAATTATTATTTTAGAAATAATTATTTTATGATTATTCCTTTAATTCATTTATTAAATAAATGATGTCAACAATGCACAGATAGAAGTGATAGAGCGGAGTGATCAGAGCTGTGATTTGTGACGGTCACTGAAGCCTACAGTGACCGTCACTGTTGGAGCACAGTGATTTCACAGTGCCTGTTACTGCCTGTGACAGGGTCACACTATATGGCCCCATCACTAATTCAGCTGTTCCCGCCCTGACGTTGAAGTAGAATAAGTTTGCAAACTTACGAGAATTGAATTTAATAGAAATGGAAAGGGTTTTATTCAAAATAAAGGAATATATTTACATTACATTTTTTTCTGATCAATATGATTATTTCTCGTCGTTCTTATTAAATATTAATCACAACAGGCCTTCAATGATAACTTAGTGCCCTATCACTTAGCTAAAACGCTCCCTAACATGGAGTATTATTGAAATAATAATTACAAACTTACAATTTATTTGCAATAGAAGGATGAGGTCACGAACCTCATATTTCTAACTAATGGGTTGTTTACTTAATTAAACTTCCCTTTCGATCAGTATCGATGCATCATTCAACAAAAACTAACGCACTAGAAAGTCGGAAATGAAATCTAAATTCTCGGTCATAGAAGTTGCATCATCTATTTCTTTTGTTTCTTATGTTGTTGATGCTGATTCCATAGAATGTTGTTGTTTATTTATTCTGTAGTACGTTTCTTTACAAAGTTGTCGATAAGTACTTTGAATAGTTAATGCACCTTCCTCCATGGTAGCGTTAAAACATCAATTATCCCTCTAAAAGCTTTTGAATGAATCGATTAAGAAGGAAGTGACAGTTTGTAAGTGATAAGTTAGTAAATGTCTACTGTAAACACTCTCAACGGAGGAAGACTCAATATTCCCCACGAGCCCGAATGTTGAAAACCAAAACATCACCAACAAAAGTTGGCGATGTCTTCGTTGAAGTTCATGATTTCTCTAGAATTCATAGGTTTGCAGGATTGTTTGCATTCACCTATTCCAGAGGAAGGTTCCGTCTATCGTTAAAATGGCTGATCGCGAATATGATCGTCATCAGCTGTGTTCTGATAATAAACTTGAAGGCCTGTTTTACCACTCGGAAGGTGATTTCGTACCACTGCTCACAGTACTACTACTTAAGTATCGCTCAATTGATAACCAATACTTATGGCGTCATAGGGAACATGATACAGTGCATTAGAACAATCAAGCTTCTCAACAGATGTCTCTTCAACATAAGAGCTGTCGATTTGGTTTTGTTCTCTATTGGAGAAAAGAGGCCTAATACCAAAATGCATATTAGCATCATATTCATAATTGCGTTGATAGTAACGACTTACATCCTACGCTTACAATTGCATCCTCCTTTACTCGAAACTTTCAACATCACTTTCATGTACGGTATACACAGTTTGATGGTGCTCACTTATTTATTCATAGACAAGATGGCTTACATTCTTCTGCATAGTTTCAAATCGTTACGCCAAAGCCTCCTGAAGTGCTCTGGCTTGGACGGAAAGGAGTCGGCTTTACTTATAGAAAAGTTGATCTACTGTCACCATCAACTCTGCAACTCATCTCGAGACTTCAACGAATTCTCTTCTCTGCAGATTTTAATAATTGTGGCACTCGAGTTCATAACATCCTTCGGCGAAGTTTACGTTGTCATCTGCATATTATTCAATAATAGTTTGGTAGGTTATAAAAACATTCTTATAGCTGTGAAAAGTTTGTGGTCGGTGATAGCAATGACGTTATTGTGGCAGTTGACACATCAATTCGCTTCTGTTCGCAACGAGGTAACAAAATAATTATTTCAACTGTTTCATCTCTTTTTATATTATTATTATTTTACCATCCACATATTGCGGTCATGAAAATTTTCGAATCACCAAATCAAATGACCAAGTCCCATGACACAAAATGAATGGTAGTGTGTGTATTTTGAACAGCCTAGGTAAAAAACAAATGATATTATCTAATCAAGATATATCTGCAATGTTACAATTTTTTTCTTTAAATCAGCTGTATGTGCCTTTTCATATTATCAATTTTAAACATTTTCACCTTTTTTATTTTCTCGAAATCGGCTCTAACAATTTTGATGAAATTCCATATATCAGTGTAAAATTAAATAGTCTTTAAAATATTTTCGTTGAAGCTTTAATTAGGCTTATTTGTAATTAATAACCGTCTCTCACTATAAGCAGTGATAAAACTGATTCAATATAAACTCTGATTTTTTAATTTTTATTATTTCTTAACGATATTTACAACTGTATTAAAGAAATACATATACTAAATTTGAACATATGGATATAATGACGTGAAAACACTTGCTGAGTAACTAACCAATGGCAGATCACGGTGCCATCTTTTTTTTTTCAGACGCCTCGGAGGGTTATCAGGAATTGAAGAGGAAGCAAGGTTGGTAACGAGAGGGTTGGGATGATTCTGAAGTTTATTATGGAAGGATAGGTATCTGGATTGGGCTAGATCTGAAAGATAAGAAACATTAAGGTCATTATGGATGGTTTTATTTGTAACAAAGTAGGGAGCATTGAGGATTTTACGAAGGATTTTGGATTGTAAGGATTGGATACGAGAGGAATTTGATGGTTTGGTTGAGCTCCATAGCTCAACATTGTAAGTCCAAATTAGCATATTATAGTCATGTATGTCTTTTGTAATTAATTGAAAGTTTAGAGCGTTTGGCTAGTAGGGATAAGTGGAGTATTGTTAAAGGAATCTGTAGGATAGAAAGTCATTGGTTTACGACGATAAACTATGAATGAATTCGATAATTGACGAAAGGAGAAAACCGGTAATTTTTTTTTAGGCAGAATAAGAAATCTCGGAATAATAGAGATAATATGTATGTATAAAGCCAAAAAGGTTATTGAAAAGTAACAAAAATTAATGACCGTTGTTTTAATTATTAATATCTTCTTTTATATTAATTCGCTCGGTAGACATTCGTCTCATACGGCTGTACATCAATGTACATCAAATTCTCTGGTTGACGGGTACAGGAGCCTCAATTCTGTAGCTAACGACCTAGTTCCTAATTATTTCCATTCTTTTCACACGTAGATTCCTCCAAAAGTCCATTTCCACAGCTTATACCTTCGTATAGAACTCGGATGAGGTGGTTCATATTTCAGCTGCATATGTCAGGATGGGTTCTACGATGCCGTGATATATCCTTCACTTGTTTTATCTTAGAACTCTGTCGTTCCACAAGAAAGGATGAAGCATGCAGGTGGCTTTCCGAGCTTGCTCAATTTGTCTCGCATCAACTTCTGATGATCATAAGGAATCAAGTTAAGGACCCCAGATACTTAAATCATCCACCTTTGTACAGTTCTGAGAGTCGACACGAAGATTACTGGCGTCCTCAGTTCAGATGGCTATGTATTCCGTCTTTGAGAGTTTCACCCTTAGCCCCATAGACTCAGAATAGGCCCATATTGAGGATATTACCTCTTTCAAAAACATAGTTTTGCGCGCAATTAAGAGCTGATCATAGACATAAAAAGAGACACTATCTGTTCATCTTCGATCCGTGATTTCACATCTCCACACCGAGGATACCATTGATTGAAAGATTCACTTTGATACATCTTGAAAAGGGTCGGCGCCATTCTACAACCATGTTTCACAGACCCTTAGTAGCCAAGAGATACATTCACAAACTTCAAAGCTTTACCCTGTAAATGGCCTTTCGGTAGAGGTGTCTCACTGCGTTTATTATGTTGATGCCAGTATCTCTCATTTCTGTCCAAATTTTAATTCTTGGAACATTGTCATAGGCCTGCTCGAGGTCCACTAAAGCTATATGGAGTTCCTGGTTCATTTCCCGAGACTGCTCGATGAGTTGCCGGAGGACAAAGGTGTTATTATTGCAGACGTTTCACCGTAAATCCTTCTTACTCCTCAGGGGTAACGAGAGATTCGCCTAATTTTTCTCGGAACAGCTTTCCTAGAACTCTGCTTACCGAACTCTGTACACATTACTCTGTACATCCTATTGTTCCGGCACACCTTCCTGCCGCCTTTTTTGAATAATGTAAAATCGGATACTCACGCACCCTAAGCCTTCCAGTACCAGGTTAATTATTCCCAGGAATATGGTCATCATGTTATTACTTTCAGCCTTCAACAACTCCACCGAGATCCCGCCCGGTCCGGTCTGTTTTTCAGCCCATGTGGTTTTCTGATTTTTTCAGAGCATGAGACAATAAACTGGGCTCTTTACATTAATATTCCTAAGTAAATATTCGAAGTGCTCCTTCCTAGCTCGGTCACTTATCGGTGAGATAATATTTCCTTTTCTAGGTGTGAGCAACTTCTTAAAAACAGCCCAAGATTCCTTAATCCTTTTTTTAAAATTTATTTATTTATTCGTATCTTACCGTGCCATTGAGGCAATACGGGTTTCGTAGAACTGGGTTGTTACATTTCTCTGTATAACAGCCTGCTTCAGCAATGCGACCAATTTTAATATCTTAATCAGATATTTATGGTTTTATTCCGCTCCTTCTCGTTCCGGTTGTCTCTCTGGCGTGGGTCTCTTCTTGTGATTAAATGAGGAAAATCGTTGTCTGTCAGTACATAGACACCGCTCTCCATCGGAAATTTGGTCCTTAGCGACTCGAAGGCTGTTCATAATAATGTGCTCAGCAGTCTCTGGGATCCCACAGCTAGGGCATAGGGGATTGATGTCTTTATCAAAGCCATGGAGCTAGGCACGAAAGCCTCCATGCACTGTAAGGAATTGCGAGACACAGCAATCCATGAGGACCCATTAGGCTTCCAAACGTTGAAAGGTGGGAAAGTACTTCCTCAAGGTGGCACTTTTGTTGTTTGTCACCCACAGTTGATCTGTTTTTGCTTTGTCTCCCACAGTCTGTCCCTGTTGTATCCTAGTGCATTATCAATGCGCTGGCAGCACCTATCCCATGAGGAATTCTTCTCACTCTCCACAAGGCTCTTTACCTCCTTATTAAGTTTTTTAAAAGGTTTTTTTTTTCAATCAAAAGCCATGGCCCGTGGGACGCAGTGGAGATCTGAGTGTACGCGGGTCAAAAAGTTTGAAGAATGAAATTTTTAATAAAAGAAACTAATTCAATGTTCTTGTGCCAATTAGATGTGAAGTATAAAAATCCAGGCAAAGCAAAGAGTAAATTGAATAAGATAAAAATGTTCAAAATTACATACAGTATTTTTTTTCTCGGCTCCTAGGGATCATTGGGGCATATACCGGGAGATTTGTGCATTATTTTTCGATGAGGTATCATCGAAAAAACATTTGGTTAAAAACGGTGGCCCACTGACAGTAAACTTCACTTGTTAGTAACTTTTTAGTATTATAAATAAAAATAAGTCAGGAATATATGACAACGATTGAGTACTCAATAACATTAAACAATATAACGATATTCCCTCATTTTTTAACATAATTTTTATTTCATTAAGTTGTTATCATCTACCGAAATTGCCCAAGTCACAAACAGGGTTGTCAATCAGTACTTTGAATAGAACCATTAATGCACCCCTCGATAATATAGCATTAAGACTCCAATTATCCTCCTAAAATATTTACTGTAGAAAGCTTAAAATGAATCGATTAAGAAGGCAGATGACTGTCAAACCATCCCAAATAGTCATCACGGGTTCGAATGATGAAAACCAAAACGTCACGCACGAGAGTTGAAGATGTTTTCGTTGAGGTTCATAATTTCTCTAGAATCCATAGGTTCGCAGGATTGTCTGCACTCACCTATTCCAGAGGAAAGTTCCGTCTATCGTTAAAATGGCTGATCGCGAATCTGATCATCATAACTTGTATATTGGTAATAAACTTGAAGGCCTGTTTTACCACTCGGAAGATGATTACGTATAATTGCTTACTGTATTACTACTTGAGTATCGCTAAGGTGTTATCAAATACTTACGGCCTTATAGGAAACATGATACAATGCATCAGAAAAGTAAATATCCTCAATAGATGTCTCTTCGACATAAGAACTGTCGATTTGGTTTTGACTTCCGTCAGAGAAAAGAGGCCTAATACAAAAATGCATTTTAGCATCATCTTCGTGATTGCGTTGATAGTAACGACTTACATCATCCGTTTAAAATTGCATCCTCCTTTATTCGAAACTTTCAACATAACTTTCATGTACGCTTTGCACAGTTTGATGGTGCTCACTTATTGGTTCATAGACAGGATGAATTCCATTCTTCTTCTCAGTTTCAAAACGTTACGTCAAAGCCTCCTGAAATGCTCCAGAATGGACGAAAATAATGCCGCTTTACTTGCAGAAAAGTTGATCTACTGTCACCATAAACTTTGTAACTCATCTCGAGACTTCAACGAATTCTGTTCTTTACAGATTTTAGCAATTGTTGCACTCGAGTTCATGACATCCTTCGGCGAAGTTTACGCTGTCATCTGCATATATTGCAATGATCAGTTCGTAGATAACAGAAACATGGTTGTTGCCGTAAAACTTTTGTGGTCGGTGATAGCATCGACGATATTGTGGCATTTGTGTCATCAATGCGCTTCTGTTCGCAAAGAGGTAACTCATTAATTTTTTTTTTTTTTTGGCTTTAAGATTTTACGCGAAATCCTATTTTGTTAGATTAAATAATTAATAATCCTAATTTACTTTTTTTTAATGTAAAGTAAAATTTCTTATTATATTATTGTGAATTTAAAAATAAATATTTCATTTCAAAATTCCTTTTTCAGGCTGTCGGTGCTGAGCGATTTATTATTAATTTTTTTTCTTCTTTGGACCATAGAGATATTTTGCCGTGTTGACCAGCTATCTGCCTTTCTTTTTCTATTGCTCCACAGTTATCTGCACGTAGCTCTAAAGAATCTTTGTTGATTCTAACTATCCATCTGTTTTTCGGCCTTCCGCGTGTCCTTTTGTCTTCTATCGAGGCATTCATTGTTACTTAGATGCTTCCAGATGGATTGCTACGAACTACATGCCCAGCCCATCTTAAAAGTTTCTGTAATCAGCTCTTTATTGTTCTTTTTTCTCCATGTGTTAGTATTCTGATCCCAGATAGCTCCGGTTATCGTGCTGAGGATTTCTCTCTCAGATCTTTCAACACCTTTTTCTAGGATTCTATTTAGTGTCCAGGTCTCACAGCCATATATTAAAACTGGCATTATCATAGTATTGTACGCCCTTAATTTGAGATTTTTTGGGATTTCGATACCTTTGAAATGGAGAAGAAAGCTCTAACAGAAAGCTCTACAGAAAGTACAATAAATAAAAATAATTTAAACAGCAAGATAATAATATTAACATTGTATGAATATAAGCAAAATGACACTAATCAAAATAACAAGTTAAATGTACACATTATTTTATACGATATTCATTAACTTGGAAAACTCCCGAGCCAAGCCTTTTCCCTCACTCGTGAAGGGAAAGGCAGGAATCTAGAAGATCCCAGCGCCTCTCACTCAGCCGCATTACTGGTAATGAGGACCAGTGGAGGCTGAGCAGAGGCGCTATAACCAGACATCAATCTTTTTTTATTCAATCCAGAGGTACCCATACCCCCTCCCTAAGGCCGATAGCGCTTTATGGCGCTATAAACCTTCCTCCACCCCTTCCAAGATATTTTATTCCTCTCTTCTTCTTAAAAACAATGCAAACGAAAGTAGAATTTGAATATTCGTCGATTATATACCATTTCACATCCTGTGGTCTGTTTCGTGATTCCACTTTTGATTTGAAACCATCAAAATGCGCTCCCCTAAAAAATTGAAAACTCCATCAAAAAGTGCCCCCTCATTAATTTTGATGGTCTAAAAAAGTCTTCACTTTAAAAAGTTTTAATTGGTGGCCGTCTAACATTTCATTTTACATAATATAAAAAAAGCCATAACGAAGACACCATATTTCTTATTACCAGAATTATTTATGCCTTATTACGGTTACAATTTGGTAATAAGAATAATTATAATAATGTAAATTGGCAATAAGGTGCGATGTATAATATAGATTTTTAAGAAATTAAAAAAATTTCCGAACTGTGGTTCCGTTCCGTTTATTTTATTTTTATTAAAAAAATAATACAATCTGAACGACAAAATACATGTAAATAAAACTTATTAGTCCCGTTTTTAACAAATTATTAACATCTGGCTGAAACTTCGTAAATAGCTTCATTTCAACGTAACCTAAAAATATGTTATTTACGAAAATTCTCGAAATTGAGGCGTTTTAAATTAGGAGGTTGATAAACTTTGTCTATTTAATTAGGTAATAACAACTTGTAAATACCCATTTGCTTTCCAATTTAATCGTACGATAACTCGATCACAAAATTAAGAAAAAAGCCTTCAAAAATATTGAGTCATTTGGCGTGACCTACACTCCCAAAATGTGCCACCTTTTTTATCGATTTTGTGATCAAACTATCTTTCGATCCAAGTGGAAAGCAAATGGGCAGGTATTTATGATTTTTAGTACCTAATTAAATAAACAAAGTTTGATCTCCCTATAGATTGAAAACGCCCCAATTTCAAGAGTTTTCGTAAATAAAATAGTTGTAGATTACTATGAGATGAAGCTATTAAGGAAGTTTAAGGCGGAATTTAACAATTCGATAAAAAGGGGTCTGCACCACGGTCTATATACAATTTGAGCAACGAGTTGTACAATTAAATGAAAAGCTGTATAATTTGAACAATGAAGGTTAAGCGGACAGACCGTGATCTTCTAGAAATCCCCACATATATTATTACAGTTAGGCTCGAAATCGGTTTTGTACCAAATATAAGCTCCTGTCATGCTCAAATACTATGAAAGCGGTACCGTTGGATTCAGAATTTCACGGGGGGGTTAGCGAATCGTATTCTCCGGTTTTGTTTTTCTTTCTAAAATAAATAAAGTCGATGCAAACATTTTGCTAGGCTTCAATTCTGTAACGGTGTAGGTAGGTCTGTAGGTCGATACGGGATAAATTAGATCTTGAAGATTTCGATGCGTACAGCAAGACCCGGATAGTTCCTCCGAAACTATCAGATTCTGCCTTTTTAAGCCCAAAAACGTACTATTTTCGAGATAACGCAAGGCATAGGGTTCGCATCCACACAACCTTACATTAATTGTAGTACTGTCATTGAATACATGTCTCATTTTGTCGACTTGAGGTCTCTATGATCGAGAGAGGAGGAGTTTATATTATTTATCGATGGAGTTTTTTATCGCCAAGCCATATCATCGTTAATTTTTCACCAAATCTCAAGATTGAGCCACTAATTTCGAAGGGTTCCTTCTCCTTCAGCCGGGCGAAATAGTCCAATCACCTCGAAAATTCAGGCATACAAGATATGAAAGAAAACAAACTTTATTTGCGCGAATAACTAAAAAATTACACACTTTTCTCTTGGTTTTGGCCATAATTATATAAAAGATTACTAAATTTCCAACAAAATGAAAAAAAAAATCATTGAAATCGGACAATATTTAGCAAAGATACAGCTCACTGAAATTTTTATATTTGTTGGTTCCAAACAGAAATGATGATTTAAATTAACTTTTGTTTTCTTTGTCGATTATATTTATTCTTTATCTTTCGATATGTTGCATTATTTTATTTTCTTATTAATTTGGCTTTTGATAACATTATGCTGTGCGAATTTTTCGCACGGGCCTACTAGTAATAATAATAAAAGTGAAGTATAAGATAGATATATACTGTTTTCGATTAAGTAAAAGAAATTCAATTTAAAATAAATTATAAAAATAACAAAAATCAATACACCTACCACGGCAGCCGTATTGATCAGATATCTATTATTCCTAACAACCGCCTCAATTGAAATCCTTTATAATGCGATATCAATTGCTGTGCTCAATTAAGATGAAGGAAAGTCAATAAGTATAGAGTAGGTTCTCGTTTCTATATTAATCATGTCACCAGCGGGACAAAACGATGTCTTCACGGAATTCGAAACGTTTGCTCGGTTCCAAAGAATTATCGGCATGTCTGCATTGATCTATTCCCGAGGGAAACTCCGTGTATCGAAGAAGTGGTTCATCATGAACCTCTTAAGCACCAGCAGCTTCCTCTTCGCCAACTTCCTGACGGTAAACTCTAACAGGAAGTCCGTTCTCTATCTCAACAAGTGGTATTACTATCTCAACACAGGAAATTATCTGTTCGTGACTTGGGCTATCGTTGCCTCTTGGGTCCGATCCAACAGAAATGTGGATCTACTGAACAGATCTATGTTTGGGATGAGAGCTGTAGATTTGCAGTTGATGTCCATAGGCGGGAAACTGCCTGCTAAATCTTCGAGTTGGGCACAGATCTTAATTTACGTGTTAATTTCTGCAGCCTTTTTAATACGTGTAATTATTTTGAGAACCATTATAGGCACTATTTTATTACTAACTATCTACATACCTTTCATTCTCGTCGTGTCGATTCAGGATAATATCGACAGGACCGGTTCTCTTTTACTCCTGCGTTTCTTTGCCATAAATCAGCACCTCATCCACTGTTCGGGAATGGCAGCGAAGAGATCGGTTCCAGTTCTGGAAAAATTGATCGTGTGCTACAATTACCTCTGTAACTCCTCAGCAGACATGGACAAATATAATTTTCTTCAATTGGTTTCGTTATTGACCTCGACTTTCGTTTCTTCATTTAGCGAGACCTTTGCTGTGATTTCGATTCTGAATAAAAATGAGACCATTCCTAATAAGGAGTTAACACTACTTCTGAAATCTTTTTGGCTAATAGTCATCTGCACTATGATTTTGCGAATTTGCCATCTATTTCAAGCCATCACTACTGAGGTAAGAGCAGTTATTAAAAATTTTTACTGGGATGTGCAAGAAATTTATATACTTTTTTTTTTACTTTCATAATTTGTTTTGACTAGTTAGACAGTGAACATAATGAAATTTCAAACTCTCTGGGCCTTCGCTGGTGCAGCCATGGCGAACGCCATACAGTGTGGCCGATATCCGATCGAAAAACAATATTCGGCTTCCCCGTTCCCGTGAAACCTCGAGAAGACAAAAGAGAAAAGAAAAAAAGGCTTAAAAAATATTGGGCCGTTTGAACTATATAAACTTGTTATTTTGACATATTTGGGGTGTGGGTGACACCATCCGGTCCAATATTTTTGTAGGCCACCTTGTTCCTCGGTTTTTTTATCAAATCTAAAAATCTAAACATTCAAGTGTGAAGCAAATGAGTATTTATGATTTTTCAGTGTCTTATTAAATTATTTAATTTAACACTTTTTATTTAAATATTTAACTGTTTTTTTAGCTTTAATTTTTTTATTCACACCTGTCATAATGGTAGTGACAACCAGTGAATGTGAGATCGATTGATTAATAGAATGTCATGAAAGGCATGAGGAGGATCCGTGCCCAGCGGCACCTCACTCGGCGTGATATCTACATTAAGCGAGGAGGTCCCTCATCCAGCTCCTCTTCAGTCTCCTACAGATGTTACCTGGCATATTCGTAGTGGCCATGTCATTTATAATTGTATTAGGATGTCCTTGTAAGTTGCCATGGAATCGTTTGTAATGAGTTCGTATGTGTTCGTTAGCAGTCGGCATATGGAGGTCAGTATGTAAGGTTATGTTGCTAACATACCAAGGTGCTTTTGTAATTGTTCTGAATGTTTTTGCTTGAAAGATTTGAAGTTTGTTTAAGTGAGTCTTTTTCCAATGTATCCACAATACAAATATTTAACTTGATGTTCCCATATCAAGTTTATCAAATTCCGTCTTGCACTTCCGCTTACGCACGCGTTAACCTATTTTTTTAGATATGCCAATATTTCAGAAAGGGCTTGTTATATTTGGCTCAAAGTTAGATAAAAGGTAGGTAATGGTGAAGAAATAACGTAATGTCAATTTTATTGAATTCTTTATTTCGAATTTATTGAATTCGAAAATATCTTACGATTCATGTGAAAGACAAATAGGTGGTGTTCATGCGTTTTTAGTACCTAATTAAATAGAAATAGTTTGCCGATCTCCTGATTGAAAACTCATCAATTCCGAGAATTTTCGTAAAGAAAGAAGTTGTAGGTAACGATGAGATTTCATAATTTTTTTTTTTTTTTTTTTTTTATAAAAAGGCGTCTGTACCACGAACTATTACATAGGTTTTTCAACAACTATATACAAGACACATGTAAAAAAAAAATTCGATTTTATTTATAAATTTATATTAAAAAAAAATTATTTGTTCCAGTAATGATCATTACAAAAAAATAAATAAAAATCCAAAATTAAATCCTGGATCCGCTACTACTATCGATAACAGGTTGCTGATGAAATCGATGTATACTCTACCACAGAAAGAAAGAAGTAATAATATCGTCCATGCTGAAGTACTGTAAGGTTTCTTTGACTGTTTAAAAACACACTGCGTTCGTAAAAACTTTGTTAGCATAAAGCCGTCAAACTGTCAAGTCGGTTGTGTGTTTTATTTTGTTTTTGAGTGATAAGATTTTTTTTTATCTCTCACAGGTCGTGGATGACATCCAGTTTATAGGATGCACTTTGCCTTGTACCCATCTTATGTAAAATAGACAAAATAGAACCCAAATTTAACGGAACTCGCGTACAGATAGAATTTTGAATAATAGGTCATTAGAAAGAGGGCAAAATACTGAAAATTTCCCTTGCCTACAGTATGGAGGTCCGAATCATAGTTTCTGAGATATTTTATTCCATTTGCAAAAACACTTAAATTGGCTGGCTCACATAATGGGCTTATGGATTAAAATATCTGAGAAACTAAAATTCTGACCTGCATACGGTTCATCATCTCATCATCTTTCTAATGACATATTATTATAGTAGAAAATTATAGAAGTGAATGAATTTTACCACCCCTCATAACTTTTTTCAGATTTCAGTTGCAGTATGTTATGTACCTAAATTTTAAGGATTTCAAAAGAGAAGTCTTTAGCCAAGTGTCATTGAAATCGGTACATCCGTTCATGCACTACAGTGTATACGATACTACTACGATACAGGTCTTTCAGCTGCCATCTTGAAAAGAAAGGGCGGATAGTAATATCGAAGTGGAAGGACCATCCTAGGGTGACCTTTGACTTCGATTCTAAATTTGAAAAAATCGGTTCAGTAGTCTCGGATAAAATGCACGGACGACAGACAATTTTTTTTTTAATTCAATTTTGTGGTTCTAAGTATCCTAAAACGTAAAACCACAAACTTAAAGGTGACGGGATTCAGTCTTTGATTTTTTTGGGCGATTACAATAGTTCATTATTAAATATAATAAACCAAAACATATTTTTATTCAGTCAATACGCTGAATTAATATTATAAATTTGTGATATTTATATCGAAATATCATTCACTATCGGCACAACGAATGCATTTAGTGGTCCTTGGCGTTCTGAATTAATTTTCCAAGTCTTCGAAAAAAAAATAAATAAAAAAGATAAATTTATTTTTATATTTCGCGAAATTTTGAGCATTTTGATGGCTTTAAATACCCCTAAAACCTTAAATCGATCTGTCTGAGCTAACAAACGAGCATTTTCGTAGTACCTAGAAAGAGTACTATCAGCGTGGTAGGTACTAAAGCCTATTTAACTTCTGAATATTATAAGCATAATGTTCTTATTCATTCAATTCTATAATATTCTCCATGACCTTTGGGGCTCTGCCAAATCATCGAATAGTATCCACTCCTTGCAATCCTAAATCCTTAATGCCCCATGTTTTGTCACAAATAAAACCATTCATAAAGACCTTAATGTTCCATATGTCGCTGACTAAGCCCGAGCCAGATACCTATCCTTTCATGATAAACTCCAGTCCCATCATAATCCATTTGTTTCCAGCCTTACTTCTTCCTCAATTGCTGATAATACTAGGCGCCTGAAAAGAAGATGGCCTCGTGAACATATTCTCTAGAATTAAATATGGTGTGCAAACCACTGAGTAGTATCTCTTTAAGTCTGTTCATATCATTATTTCTAATTTTTGCATATTTACTGGCTTTATTTTTTACATTTGTAAATTTGATTAAATAAAAAATATATTCTTCTCCTTTCCAATTATGTTCGTAGATCTAATAACGTAGTGTCCAGAATTAATACAGATGTAGGATTCCCAGTGAGTCCAAATTAATATATTCTGCCATACTCCTCAGATGGTTCCCTTCTACACCCAGCTTCTCCAAGAAATAAGCAGTTGAAAGAGAAATCGCTCCTCTACTTCCAAACCTGAGTCCTCGAACCGAAACTTCTCTCACACCAAATTACCTAAAATTGCCTATATTTCTTCTGTATGTACGGAATGCATTTTTTTACAGATCTCCTCTTTTTTTTTTTTTTATCTATAGATCTTGATCCTCATCGTTAGTTTTAAATCTAATTGTGGGATCAACTATCAGAGCCTAGTCGGATAGTTCTGATAGTCTCGTTCTGATAGTGCATTGTCATTCGATTCGTAATGTATCTAAACACATTTAATACTAGACTTCATAACTATTCGACTAAAAATAATCAAATCAATTGGTATACTATTTAAATTCAGTCACGACAAAGGTTGTTGTCAATGATATAAAATTTTCACTACTACAATCTATGAAATCCTGTGATGTGAAAATTCCTATTGATTCAGTTGCATACTGGTACCTAAATGTTTTATAATTTATTTTTGTATATTTCATTTTATATTATATAGAGTATTTCAGGGTTAAGTGGCCAAACTGCAACAATGAACTAAGGACCTCAAAACAAGAAAAAAGTTTCCTCTGAAGGTATGTCCGCAAACGCTTTGTTCAGGAAATATTCACACCTAAAGATTTTCGTTGTTATGAAATAAATAAAACCTATTTATTTCAATTGTTCTAACTACTTCATTAATTAAATGTAAACATTAAAATTCATATAAAATATTGTTCAAAGTAATTTCATTGAGCATTAAGACATACTCGACATCTTTCTTCAACAGCAGCAGTGGCAGAACGGCACTGGATATGTGTTATTGTTTCACAATATTCAATTATCCTTCTTCGTAAGGAATTAAGGTCATTGAACGGACTTGCATATACTTTTTGTTTAATGTTACCCCAAACAAAATAATCCAGAGGTGTCAGGTATGGAAAGCGTGCAGGCCAAGCCACTGGTCCTGCAGGGCCAATCCATTGATAGGGATAATTAACATTTAGCCATTGTCGTGGACCTACCTTCACTTTGAACAACATTTAATAAGAATTTAATGTTAACGTTTAATTAATAAAGTAGTTGGAACAAATAAATAAATTTTATTTACTTAATATAACGTAAATAATTCATAAGAGAGTGGGGTAGCTCAGTGGTAGGGCACTTAGCTTCCATTGCAAAGGTTCCAGGTTCGAACCCCAGCTCAAGGCAGTACATTTATTTATCTGAACATTGGCCGTGGGGCGACCCTGGGTTAGGAGTCCCTCCTGGGGCAAATCCAGCCTCTATAAAGTGGTGGGTGTTGTAAATTAAACAATTAATTAAGGGGAAAACTTGGCGGTTGAGCGTGATCTCTGTCAAATCACCGCCTTGCACAACCGTTGACCTAGAAACAGTGCTTTCCCTAAATAGTGCTGAACCCAAGACCCTTCATGGGTTGTAGTGGTACAGGTTTTTTTTTTTTTTAATAATTCATAACAATGAAAATATTTAGGTGTGAATATCTTCAAAACAAACCGTTTGTGGACATCTCTTCATAGCATTTTTTTTTCTTGTTTTGATGTCCTTAATTCATATTTTCAATTTGGCCACTGAAACACCCATATATTTTATAGTGTATTTTTCTTTGACAAAAAAATTTGTATAACTAATAATTGTATTTTTTTTTTTAAGGCCAAAGAATTCAATACACTTCTGTATCAAATAATGATAGAAGATAAAACAAATGAAATTTTAAATAATGTAAGTATCTTACGTTTCCTTGACCGATTTTTTAAGAACAAAATACATTCACATATTTAAAATATGTGAATGATTTAAGTATTTATCATAATAAATAATTCTCATAGCATCCTATTTATATTTTAAGTCCTAATACAGATTGAATTTATGTTGACAGCCGAAACTGAAACTTCATATTGCGATGAACCGTGAGGTGGTTTTTACAGCATACGGCTTCTTTAACCTGGATTATTCTCTTGTTCATTCAGTGAGTATCAAACATTAAAAATTAATCGATTAGAATCAAAACGTTTGACCATTTTTCTAAATTGTACTGTTCTGTTTTCAAATAAGAAAACCTGGTGTGTTTTTACACGACTTTCCTACCTATTTCAGAAAAGTTTTTATATCTTTACATATGTCCATCAAGAAACAAAAAAAAAAAACTAGATTTATTTTCCAGAGAATCGATCAAAGAAAAGGTTTCAGTACGATTTATTTGATAAACTAAAGCAATGCAAACCGGCTTAAGGTAGATCATTGTAAACATTTCAATACCCTCTAATATTGCTGATCAAAAACTTTTTACCATAGCCTAATTTTGTCAAACAATAATTTCTGTTAAAAGTAGAGAAAATAGTGAAGCTTATGGAATACGGGCAACAGATTTTCTTACGTTCACTTAGTTATCTTTTTTCTCTCTTTCACCCCTTTCTGACACCAGGATGTGAACCCGTAATCTTATATTGGAAATTGAATAGCTAATAATGGTTCGATTCCGATGATTTTTTTTTTTTGGTTTGTTGATAATTTAATTATCTTTAAAAAAATTTATTATAAGTTTTACCATATAATACTTAGCGAGATAGGCCACAAAACCTTTTTCTTTTCTTTATAACTTTTTTTCTGATTTTTCTCGGGAATTTAATCAATATACGAATGTTGAAAGGATAATTATTAGAACATTATACGAAAGTTTCATCAAAATTGTTAGAGCCATTTTCGAGCTAAAGTCTATAGAAAAACATGTTTTTTCATTTATTGCGCAGTAGCTATTGCGCATGGAGGATCTAATTTGTGTCACAGGCATCAGTAGTCAAAACCCTACAAAATAAAAAAAGAAGCAACAAAATCGGTGGCTTCCCTAGAAAATCTTGGCACAGACAGGCAGACCAATCGCTAAACATGTGTGTTTTTCGGACACAGGTGACTTTGAAACGTATGATCCGTCGAAATCCGCATATCGGAAATTTGACCCGATCGAAATTCTTTTCTTACCTAGTATAGGTAGGAAAGTAATAAATTAAAATAGAAAAATAAGCTGTATCATCGCTAATACTGTTTCAATCTCGTTGAATTTTTATTTGTTTTTTTGATAATTTAATTACCTTTCAAAAGTATTACAATAAATTTTACCATAGAATATATACTTAGCGTATTAGACCCCAAAACATTTTTCTTTTCTTTATACCTTTTTCTGAATTTTCTCCGGAATTTAGTAATTTACCAAAATTGAAAGTACAATTATTGGAACATCATAGGAAAGTTTCATCAAATTTTAGCCGTTTTCGCGCTGCAGCCTATAGAAAAGCATGTTTTTCATTTATTGCGCAGTAGCTATTGCGCATGGAGGATCTAATTTGTGTCACGGGCATCAGTAGTTCTACAAAATAAAAAAAAAAGTTACAAAATCGGTCCACTAGTTCCTAAAAAATCTTGGCACAGACGGATAGACCAATGACCAATTAATGTGTTTTTCGTATTCAGGGGGCTCTGTATAGATCTGTTGAAAATCGCATATTGGAAATTTGACCCGATCACAATACTTACCTTACCTAGTATAGGTAGGAATGTAAAAAGTTCATGAAATGATACTTAAAGACTTTTTGTAATAAACCGACGATATTATCTATTTTTTTAAATTTTATTTTTGTTCCTTTTTTCAGATAATTGCATCATCAACAACTTACTTAGTGATCCTATTACAATTTAGTCAAGGACCATCTTCGGACCCGAGAGATGCTGTGAGTTTAGCAAACATTGGAAACGCCACAACGGCTTTGCCTTCATTTCTTACCACCGCGTGAGCTTCGAAACATCAAAATTAAATTTAAGAAGCTTTTACAGTTTATTTTGTTTTTGTTTTTTATTATATCAATAGTTGAATCATTTTGTAAATAATTTAAACATTTATATTAATAAAAATATATGCACTTTATTATCCTATGGTATAGTTCATCTGAGTTAAGTTTGAGTGTAGGGGATAAAAGCACGTGCAGCTTTCCCCCACTCAAGTTCCACCTCCCCAAGACCTCTCTCCAGTTCCACTTCCCCTCTTCACCATAGCAACCACATTATATCGGTAAAACGAATTCAATTTTCTTCGTATTTCGCAACAAATGTTTATTAAAGGTAGGAATTTAAAATTAAAAATAAAATAAAACAAGGATAGTTTGATAATATAGTTGAGACAAAATTCACGAAGTCTACTGTTCACAGAATTCGTTGTTATTACTAGGATCTGTAGATCTAAACTTACCAAGAAATATATCGTAAAAAAATCAAGAAATATATGAAAGAGAAACACTTTATTTTCATAAAATATAAAATATAAAGGATTGCTGCCCAATTATATTGGGTTGCAATACACACAGCATACTCTTCTATCCTTTGGACAATATATGAACTTATATATAAATATACAGAAGTCTTACTTAATATTATTAAAATAGATATATATATATACATTTTTATTTTTTTTTTCATTTTTTTTCCCTTTTCCTTCCTTTCATTGTTTATGCTTTTCTTTTTTTTTTTCTTTCCTTTAACATTTAGTTTCCCTTTCTCTCACTTCTCTCTCTTTATCTCTATTGTTTTCAATTATTCATTAAATAAATAAATAAATACATAAATTAAAACTCTCGGGCTAGCCATGCACGTGGTGGTGAATGATTCCCAGGGAGTCGAGGACTATATTTTCACCCAACCTCGCTACGTCCTTAATGTCGACACCTAGTTCCTCGAGGAAGCTCCTTGTTCTTTTTGGGATAGTTCCGCGAGACCCAAACCAGAGGCCTCTCACGGTGAACTCTCTCTCTCCGAAGGTCTCACGGAATTTATCTTTTAGGAAAGGGATACATTTATCATACGTGTTCTTCTTTTCCCTTTCCACTTCACCTGCCTGATCGAGGTCATTGCTCTCAAAGCGGACAGTTGGATCCAAGATCAGCGCTGTCCTTCCTGTCGTTTCCTGTTGGGAAATGCGACGATATCCGCGTATCTTGTAGAGCCTTCACTATCGATGCAATATACCTCGTCAAAGCAGGTGAATTTCCTTTCCCTAAGGAGCCTCATCAACTCGAACTTGACCCGGTGGTGATGACGTGTTATGAGGAGGGAGTTGTTGGGGCATTTTCCCAGCACATGGGCTGGTGTTTCAGACTCTCTGCCGCATTTATGGCAGAGGGACCCAACTTCTCCGACCTGTCCGCTGACTCCTGGGACTCCACGCAGGGGTGCATAATTAATGTTTAGTTTTAGGGCATTCGACCATTCAGACCCAGAAAGTACTTGCTTTTCATAGATGTATCTATTCGCTTTCGGGGTCTCTTTAAAATGGCGAACACCAATACCCTGCCACCTGCAGTTGGCCCATTCCTCAAATGCATTTTCTCGTAGCGACTGCCGTAGAGCTTTCACATTTCGATGACCCTGATCAACCCCCAATCTCTCGGCAAAATCCTATATATTATTTCTAAAAGGTGTTTTTTTGTCGGTACGCCATAACTTCGTCAATTCTTCATCGAATCCAATGATTGGCCACTACTGAAGATATTCTCATATTCTCCTTCACATGCGACAAATATTCCTATTCCCCCGAAATCTCTAAAAAAAAGTTATAGAGGAAAAGAAACTTTATTTGAGAATACCTCAAAAACTATGCATTTTTTTCTGGTTTGTACCCATGATAATTAGACAAGATTACAAAATTACCTACAAAACAAAAAACAAATCGTTAAAATCGGACAATTACTAACAAAGATACAGTCCATTAGTTGTTGTATACTTAATAACGTCTTCCTCTTGAAAGATGTTGCGTATAGGAGTTGAATAGTCGACTACACTTTTTTTTCATGGCTGGTATATTAAATTTATTATTTCATAAAGGCATTTGTTTGTTCTTACATTTTATTATTTGTAATAATTTATAAAATCCTATGATCGCTGCATTATTTTGTCTTTTAACTTATATTGTCTTTTCTGTCAGCAAAGCAATTTGTACAAATATTTTGATATTTTATGATAAAATGGAATATTGTAAACGACCAAGGAAAAAATATTAATTCTTTTCTTACATATTACATTGGATCTATTTATTTCCATATTGTTTTGCTATTTCTTCACTAAACAAAACGAATTATTCGCACGTATAGAATATTACGTTATCGGATATTCAATACTGGGAAGGGGCTTTTTTCATTTACTTCGGAATGTAAACAAAGAGAATTGTCCATTTAATGTATTATTATTTTAGACAGTACTGTATTAGGTCGAATATTAAATGAATCACAGTATGTAAACAGTCAATCTTTCTGTGAATCAATTAAGGAAATGTATTTCAATCGTGAAAATTTTGGAGTCTGAGTTCTCAACGGAAATACACGTTTTGAGATCCCCTGAGTCCAAATAACCAAGTCCCGAAAAATGATCTGTGTGTTCGTGTGTCTGTGTATCTGTGTGTATGTAAACAGTATAGTTCAAAAACCAAATGTCGTACGAAACTAATATTACGTATTTAAGACAGGTATATGCTTTAGATGTCCCTGCAACCTTTTCCTTAAAATCGGCTAACCGGAAGTGCCACTTTATATCAATGGTGAAACATATTTTTTCAATTTTCTCAAAAACGGCTATAACAATTTTCATTAAACTCGGTGTATCATTGTATAATTAAATGGTCTTTAATATCATTTAAGTCTTATCCCCGTTGATGTCACTTTACAGGGCTTAAATGCCAAATGTCCATATACGTCTTCCTCTAAAGTACCTTTAATATGGTTTATTTAAAAAAATGAACTCTCTTTTATTGACAGTTTGAACTATAAAAAAAAAGCTAAATATGTAGTTTGGAAGAATATGATAATTAGAATTTGGAGAAAAAAAGAAAAATTCTTATGCAGATTGAAAATGAATCTCGAGAAATAAGTCAGAAGGTTTATAAATAATAATAGTATAATATATCGTTGGAAAGCGGAGAATTTTAGAAAAAAATAATATCAAATAAATAAAGTTGTAGAAGGTAACGGAGAGGGAAGAAAAACATATAAATAATAATTTCAGAAAACATTAGTTAACGTAAACCACATGCTTCCAAGGAAATTGAATGAAATTTTCTTACTAATTGTACACTTTTAAATGTTTTTATAAGTTTGAAAGAAAAGTATTTAAAATCCACTGAATCATTGTTTAAAATACTATTTCATTGTACATGTGTGAAAGAAGAAGTGAAATATAAAAATATTTCATAGATGTGTTTATATAACCTCAAATGTATTTACTATAGTTTAATAACACTAGATAAGATATTACATTTAAATAATTAGGTATTTAGATATAGGTGAAATTTTTCGCAGGGTAATTTGTTGATGATTTATGTACAAAAGAGTTAATATCTTGTAAGTAATGGACAGCTGTAAGTCAAGTCTAGTCTTTCGAGCATTATACTTAAATACGACCATTTCGCATGATTCATTTCAACTTAGTTATGGACGAAATGTTAGATTTATTATTTGATCATATAAGTAATTTATTTTTTGTCACTTCAATTGGTCATTAATACTTGTACACAGTTATACTGTAAGCCGTCACGCCGCGTGCAACTGCAAGCAAACCTGTCCTTCTTACTTGATCTACTGGGAGGCATGAAACTAGGTTTCGGCTGGAAAAAAATTAAAATAAAAACTACATTAATATTATATTAATAATCCAAACTATAAATACACGAGTCTCTAATATAAGAAATAACAGTTAACCAGCCAACTTTTTACCGATTCAGGCATCTTTAGGGCAGGAAAAAAGCAAATCAAAAATATGCAAAATGAAAAAAGAGAGAAAAAAACCATTTAGGGTAAAAGTACCAATACCTGACATTCTTCTTGAATTTTTTTTTTGTTTTTATTTTTTTTTATTTTTTTTTTTTGTTCTTCCCTACCTGGCCTTTTAGACTATACGGGATTTTCCCGAGCCGGGGGATGAAGGAAAGAATTTAAAATCCCCTCCGGCACCGGAACGCGAACTCGTACTTATTTTCAATCTCTCAAAACTCCATATACCAGGTAACTCGCGTTGCTTTGCAAACGCTTTAGCCATGCATTAACGATAGCCTATGCCTAATGCCTAGCGGAATATCTTCTAGGAGTTCATGAAGATTATTTTGAAAAAAAATCAGGTAAGATCTACCTGACAGTCTAGGTGGAAAAAAGAAGGGACCGACGATGCCGCTTAGTAGACCACAGCAGAAATTTGAAGAACAGTTCAGTAAACATTCAAAGAAGTTAGGATCTCGTGTGCATTGTCCAATTAATCACTGGGAGAAGTTTCTGCGCTTGTTATAATCTTGTGGTAACACATCTTGCCTGCTCGAGACGTGAAATGGATAAAATAGTTGTTCGCGTAAAGTTTGCCGTACGCTCGTAGAGGAAATATCGAAACGACAAGACAATCTTTTACTATTAGTAGGATAGTAGGACAATAATACTAGTCGTAGGATATAACTGAACAGCACTAGCGGATCCAGGATTTAATTTTTGGGAGGGGGGGCTTCACCCTGGAAATTGTTTTTTTATAGATACAAAGATAATTAATTTGAAAAAAAAGGAAGAAAAAATGAACTACCTATATGAAATGGTATTTAAGTGATTCTTGAAGTCCTATTAAATGTAATTACACGAACAATAATGCTTTAAGAGATAGTTTTTAATATTTTTTTCTATAAAACATGGTTATATTTTACCGTTTTGGGGAGGAGGGCTTCAGCCCGAAAGCCCCTCCTCGTAAATCCGCCTGTGCTGAAGAGCATTCAGTATTT